GGATCACACTCAGGAGCTTGGGCTGATGGCCTCTCATCTCAGGAGGTCTTAACAGGAAGGCAGATGGGTCTCAGCTAAAGGAAGATCCAGGCAGCAGAAGGAAGCCCTGGGGGCTGGCTGGAAGGGTTGTTGATGAGCATCTGAGCTGGCTGAATACCCAGCTCCCTCCTAAGCCATCTCCTCACCTTGGGCAACTTTCATGGTAGGTACTACTGGTAGCCATGACCACCATGGCTGCTGTCCCTCTTCCCCCTTCTGCTTTCTTTCCTCAATATCCCTTTATTTTTGCTTCCTAGGAAAGGAATTTGGGTGTAATGAATGATAGGGTGTGTGTTTAATAATGGTACCTGAGCCAGCCTTAGGAGAAAGGGCAGGCACTGGCGTTGTTGCCTCCACAGCTAGGCCTGGAGCTGTATGGTTGGTGCTTGGCGTTTTCTTGCTTCTCTGCTTATTTCTCCTTGTCCCACTTCCCTAATGCCTAAAGAGGGATGGTTTAAACTCTAGGACTACTGACAGTTTCCCTTTCTGACTGCTTCTTGAGGGAATGGCTAGGAGCAGCCTTAGATATACAAGCTTTTTGAGATAGATCCTTCTTTGGGAAGGAGTGGTCATGTGGTATCCTAGAAAGGGCTGGAGGATGTGAGCCTCATTCTCAACTGCTGATTACTAGCTGTGTGCTCTTGGCAAAGCAATTCAGCTTTCTGTGTCTCTGTTTTCTCATCTGTAAAGTGGGGATAATAATAGCAAAGTTTGGAGTGAGGATTGAATCAGCTAATGCGTGGAAAATGCTTAGTGCCTGGCATTAAGTATTCAATAAATGGTCCCTATTGTTATTTTTTTTTAAAGTTTATAGTATGTCAGGCACTATGCTAAGTGATTTCACACATGGGACTGCATTTAATCCAGACTATAACTCTTGAGTGAGGGATGGTTATCTTCCCCATTTTACAGATAGAGAATCTACAACTCAGAGAAGTGACTTTCCCAAGGTCACGCAGCTGGAGTTGGAATGTAAGCGTGGACTGACTCCAAGTCTAGGGCTAGTCAGGATAATAATAGACCAAGTATTAGGCCCTATAGATAGTTTCCTCTCCTTTCCCAAACCAGGGCGAGAAGGCTCCAGCTCTGGCTGCAGGTCCTCTGCTGGGAATTTCCTGCCCCCCAGCTTGTGGTTTTCTCCCAGTGGTCCCAAAACCCCCGCTGCCTTGCTTCTGTCTCCTTTGGGATTGTTTCTTACTCCTGGAGAAACCCTAGAGAGAGTAGGGGCCTTTGTAAGCTACCTTTCGATGTGTGGCAAGGAGGTGGTGTCACAGAACCTTGATAATGGACGGACAAATCCTGGTGGGAGTACACTTGAACCATCAAGAAGGACAAGTCTGAGCTGATAACCCCTATTGTTCTACCTACTATTTATTGACCACTTGCTGTGCATCAAGCTGTGTCCCAGAGGCTTTGAGAATATTATCTCTAATCCCCACAATAACCTAGCCAAGTAAGGATTATTGTTCCCTTTTTGACATAAGAAAACCGAAGCTCAGATGGGTTAAGTGACTTGCATAGAATCACACATCCAAAGTGGTAGAGTTAGGATATAAACCTAGATGTGTCTCACTCATTTTTGTCTCATTGCCTACTGGCTTGGTATAGTGGACAGGATGAGACTAACATACATGAAATGATGATGAGCAATATAAAACATCATATTATTATGGGCTAAATTATGAGGACTGGATTACTAAGGACAAGCTCCCTGGTGGAGATGGTACTTGAGCAGTACCTTGAAGAACAGGTGGGATTTAGATTAACAAAATGGGAGGGGGCATACCCGGCAGAGGAAACAGTCATAGTAATAACTAAAATTGGTTGAGGGCTCACTAGACCCTGTTCTAAGCAGCTGATATGCATTGTCTCTTTTGATCTTTATAACCCCATTAATTAGGTACTATTAGCTCCATTTTACTGCTATGGCAACTAGAGCGCTGAAAAGTGAAGTCACCTGTCTAAAGCAGCAGAGCTAATGAGTGGTTGAGCTGGGATTCAAACCAAATTGGTCCAACTCCAGAGCCTGCGCTAGTTTCTACTGGAAAACCAATAGCAAAGGCACAAAGCTGGTTGCAGAGTGTGATTGGAGCAGAGACATGAGAGACTGGGCTGGGGAGGTAAAAATAGCTTATAGAGGGCTTTGAAAGTCTGACCCAGCTTACATTTGATGCAGGACAGGGTAAGAAATAGGGAGCCAGTGAAGATTCTCGAATAGGAGAGTGCCACAATTCAATTGGTGTTTGACATGGTATGATCTAAAAGCAGTGACTAGAGGTGGAACAAGGGAACACTGGCTGGCAGACTGATGTAGTATTTTGGACATAATATGTTAAGGGCCTGGACTAGAATAGGAAGTGTTGGTGGTAGGTTCTGTGGAGGAGAAGTATGATTATGTGGAATAGTCTCAGTGAGAATGGAGAGAGAGAAGCAAAGCCAGAGAGATATCATAAAAGAAGACTCAGCAGAACTCAGTGAAGGATTGGACAGTTGGTGAGAAGGTGGCATCAACACTGACTGCCCACATTTTAAACACTGGACTCAGAAGAACTTCAGGAATCCTGGATGTGGAAGAAGGGCCCAAAATAAGAGGTGCCCTGTTCTGCACTGTATCCTCAGTGCCTAGAAGCACAGTATGTAGTAGATACACATGGCACATAGTATGCAGTAGTGCATAGTACGTCTGTGAGAGGCTTTATAAATAGTTGTTGACGATGACTACCAGGTAACAGCAGCTGGAGAGATTTCTAGCATCATGGCTTTGTGTGTGAGACTCTGGAGCAGGCACATACCCCCAAGGCTTTCTTGTGCCTTCAGCCTCCCTGCTGGGCACTCTGAAATCCGTAATTGAATAATCTGGTTAGAAGTGGGGGCCTCACCTGGCTTTCCTTCCCATAAATCTTAGCCGCTGCCGCTGACCTGTGGCTCTGGTTCCTGACCTTTGACAAGCAGCTTCCCATGCCCTTCCTCTTACACCTCCTTGTCTGTGTCTGGCCTGTTACCATTCTTCCCGTGTTTTTCCCAGCAAGGCCATTCTCCTCAGGACTACCTTTTTAGGCCTTAGCCCTCTAGAGCCTTGCACTGCTGGGATTTTCTGTGTTTCCGCTGGGGCGAGGGACATTCCCAGCTAGGATGGAATCCAGCTTGAGTCTGTCCGCTACTGCTCCTAGGAGGTAGAGAGCTGATTTATACCACTATATAACAAGCTTGTTGAAAACAGGGGGCCTTATCTTAGTCAACTCTGCACCCTCAGAGTCCAGTATGGAGCCTGCCATAGTAAATGACTGAATAAATTAGTAAATAAGCTACCATCTGTTTATCTCTCTGTCACCTACCTATTTATCATCTGTCTCTCTTACTCTGTCATTCATCTCTCTCTCTCTCATTCATTTCTCTCTATTACATATTTCTCTATAATCTTTCTCAGAGTTTTCTCCCTGTCATTTGTTTTTCTCTGTATCATCTCTCCCTCTTATCTCTATCATCTACCTGGCCCTTCTGACGTTTATTTTTCTCTCCTTTTTTTTTCTTTTCCTCGCTCTCTTTCTTCTCCTTCTCCCTCCCTCCCTCCTCCCTTTCCTCCTCCCTCTCTCATTCTCCCCCTCTCCCTCTTCCTCCTTCTCTCATCAGTCTCCTCTTTATCTTCTGGCACTCCCCATGCCCCACATGTGCTCTTCCCCATACCATTCTTCCCCACTTGTAAAGGTGGCGTCTATTCATGTGAAATATACCATAGGGCAGGGCCGGCCCCGTGGCTTAGCGGTTAAGTGTGCGCACTCCGCTACTGGTGGCCCGGGTTTGGATCCCGGGCGTGCACCGACGCACCGCTTCTCTGGCCATGCTGAGGCCGCGTCCCACATACAGTAACTAGAAGGATGTGCAACTATGACATACAACTATCTACTGGGGCTTTGGGGAAAAAAAGGAGGAGGATTGGCAATAGATGTTAGCTCAGAGCTGGTCTTCCTCAGCAAAAAGAGGAGGATTAGCACGGATGTTAGCTCAGGGCTGATCTTCCTCACACACACACACACACACACAAAAAAAATATATATATATATACCATAGGGCAGGGATGTGCCAGTTAGTGCAAGAGTTGTGGTTACAGCCTCCAGCAGCAGACAGACCCTGTGGTCGCATCCAGGGCCTTGGCCTCAGACCCGTTTCCCTTTATTCACCCTTGTCTTGCTGTGCAGCCAGTCTCCTCTGTCAGCCTAGTGCTGTGCCATTCACCACGTTGTTCTGTTTTCCCTTACAGGACTTGCGGCTCCTTGCCACCACTTTGCCTACAAACTCTGGTGTCTCACCTCTATGCCCATTTTATCCTTCACTCTCTCAATGCCTTTACTGCACTTTATTTGAAATAGCTCTGTCTCTCTCACTAATCTATAAGCTCTTAAGGGCAAAGACCATGTTTGATTCATCTCTGTATCCCCAGAGCTACAGACAGATGGTACACAGCAAACATATAACAACAAACACTTATCAAATCAGTGAGCGAAAATTGGAGAATTTGCAGCCCAGTGTTGACTTCCTTAAGCTTCTCAATCACTTGCCTATGCTTTTCTTTGAGAAAAATGGGAAGATTGGCCAGATTGATTTTTTTTTTTCCAAAGAAAATTTAGAGTAGGCTCACTGTTTGTTGGGCAGCAGCACTCATTTATTCCACAAATATTTACCGAGCGTCTACTATGTGTCTGGCACTGTTATACATGCTTGGGATATACCCATGAGCAAAACAGCCCTGTGAAGCTAACATTCCATATCTCCAGGATCCCCCCCCCAAGATGAAGGACTTTTGAGTTTTGGGAGCTGAGGAGGGCCACTACGATCCCCACCCCAGCCCCTTGCAAGATGTTCTACTTCATTTAAGGGAAAGAGGGGGTGGGGACGGAAGCTGCCTGGGAAGTGATTTCAGCTCTGGTTCCCTAAGCTGACTTCCTGTCCTTTTCTTGCTGTAGAAGAAACGCCCCTGTCAGTAGGCCGCACTCATGGCATGTGGCCAAGCTGCTGGAGGGATGCCCTGAAGCGGCCACCACCATGCATTTCCCTTCTGAAGCCTTCAGCTTGTCCTGGCATTCAGGCTGCAACACAAGGTGAGTCTAGAACCCTCCCTCAAGATGCGCTGGAGGGTAGACAACCTGGCCACTCCTCCTCCGCTCTAGTCCCTCTTGAATGTTAATAGAGCCCAGAGTGCTATAACAGAAAATGGAGTGGGAGTCAGAGTACCTGGGTTATAGTCCCTGTCTACTGCTAACTCGGTGTGACTTTGGAACATTCTTTTTCCTTCTGGGAAATATTTCCTTGAAATACTTACCTCACTTGTCTTGCAAGACACCACACTCTCCTGCTTTTCATCCTATCTCACTGGCTGTTCCTTTGCAGTCTCTTTCCCTGGTTCCTCCTCACCCCCCTGGTCTCTTAATGTAGGAGGGCCCCAGGGCTCAGGTCTGGTCCTCTTCTCTAGCTCCCACACTCAAAACTCGCTGGTGATCTTATCCAGTGTTCATCAGCTCTGTCACAGAGCCAAAGCCTCAGAATGGGGCCCTCCCTGAATAACAGAGTCTACCTGCAGTGAAGATCTCTCAATTCAGGGAGCTCAGTATTGTCTGTTGTTGAAATGGCTGCCCAGAAGAGGCAGAGAACTTTTTCTGCAAGCTCAGAGCCACAAAGCTGCTGGCCTCAGCTGCCTTTTCCCTTCCATGATAGAATCTTCCTTCCAAGAAGGGATTTCTGTTGAGGAGGCTCAAGGAAGCTAAGGGTTGAGTTTGCCCCCGCTTGGTAACTTTATTTGGCATTGGAAGCTAGGGGCTCAGGGCAGAGGCAGAGGCAGTTTTGTTCTTGAAGAATATACAGAAACGCATTCTGAGCTTAGATCCTGTTTGAGTGGGGGTATGGTTGTTTTTAGCAAGAAGGGTGGTGGGGTGGGTAGCAGGCCCCCTTGCCAACAAGGAATCGATGGATTCCTAGCCCAGAGTTCAAGTGAGCAGAGTGGCTAAGGGGCAAGGCAGGGAGCAAGAATTAGGGGAGGCTCACCTGAGGGTTTGGTGGGCTCCTGCCACCACCCAACTCTGGCTTTCTGAACTGTGGCCATTCTGAGAGCAGCCTGCAACCTCTGGGGTTCTAGTTGTAGGGAGTGACTAGCATGACTTGGCTCAGTTTGGCTTTGTGTGTGGGAAATGGCACTTAAAATTCAAGATTGTGTCAGATCCTAGTCCCTTCCTTGGTCTCCCCGATTTGGCTTTGCCATGGGGGATAAAGGCGGCCTGGGTGGGCAGGGGCCACTATAGTATCAATACTGGTAGTAGAGAGGATGCTGATAACAACAGCAATGAAAACAACAATCAAGAAGGCGGCTACTCCCAGGTATTGAACCTTTGCTAGATGCCCAGGCTGTGACAAGAGCTTTACTTTTATTATCTGATTTCACCCACAAAGCAACCCTCTGATGCAGATTATTACTATTATTCCCGTTTAACAGATGGTATAGCAGAGGAGCTAAGACATTGGACTCTCAGAGGCTTGGGTTCAGATTCCAGCTCTGCTTCTTTAGCGGCTCTGTGAGCTTGTCAGTTTACCTCTCGAAGCTTTAGTTTTCTCAGTTGTAAAATGAAGATAATAATCTCTCCCCTTCAGTTTGAAATGAGATATTGTACAGTTCTTAGCACATTGTAGGTCCTCAGTAAATGGTCAGGATTACTATTATCAAGAAAAGAACAGGGAAGACCTAAGTTCCGGCCCTGTCTGGGCCATGAGCTAGAGCTAGGTGATCTTGAGAAAATCACCTCCTCGAAATCACTTCCCTTTGCAGGGCTTGCTTTACACCAGTGATTCTTAAAAGTGTAGTCCCTAGACCAACAGCACCAGTATCACCCAGGAACTTGTTAGAAGTAAAAATTCTCAGGATCCACCCAGACCTAAAACCCTGGGGATGAGGCCCAGTAACCTGTGTTTTGATAAGCCCTCCACATGATTCTAATGCACACTCAAACTTGAGAACCACTAATTTACAAAATGGGCTGGCTGAAATTGAATCAGTCCTTTAGGGCCCCTCTCTAATGCTAATATTCCATGATTGTCTCTCCTGGCAGAGAGCCGCATGCTGGACTCCCTGGGGACAACGACAGGCCACAAGCAACTCTAGACTCACTGACAGCAGGGAAACAAGCATAAGCCCCAATGGAGTTTTCACGCTTTTAGTCTTTGGGATCTTGCCCCATCCTTCTTCCATATGTCATCTTGTCTCCCATTTTACCAGGTCACTGTGGTGCCCCAGTGTCCATCTCTTTCCCTGTTTTCCTCCCTTCATTTGTTGCCTTATCTCGCTCCCATTTGTGGTGTGAGTGCCTCTGGGTTGTCCTGCCTTCTCCCATGGCAGGGCTGGCCAAGATGGGAAGGGGATTTGGGACCTTGGCTAACTAACCAGTGTGCCCCGTGTCTTTCAGTGACGTGTGTGTGCAGTGGTGTCCACTCTCCCGGCACTGCAGCACTGAGAAAAGCAGCTCCATTGGCAGCATGGAGAGCCTGGAGCAACCAGGCCAAGCCACCTATGAGGGCCACCTCTTACCCATTGACCAGAACATGTACCCCAACCAGCGTGACTCGGCCTACAGCTCTTTCTCAGCCAGCTCAAATGCCTCTGACTGTGCCCTTTCCCTCAAGCCAGAGGAGCCAGCCTCTGCCGACTGCATCATGCAAGGCTCAGGGCCAACTAAGGCCCCTACTGGCCGGCCTAATGTAGCTGAGACCTCAGGAGGTAGCCAGCGCACCAATGGTGGCCACCTGACTCCCAGCTCCCAGATGTCATCTCACTCACAGGAGGTCCACCACTCAGGGCCTGCCAAGGCTACCAGGGGCCCACCTCAACCTCCAGTGAGGCGAGACAGTCTTCAGGCCTCCAGAGCCCAGCTCCTCAATGGAGAGCAGCGCAGGGCTTCTGAGCCTGTGAACTCCTTGCAGCAGAAGGAAAAACCGAGCTTGGACACTGTGCTATTCCCAAGAAACCCTAACAGGTTCTGCTGCCTCAGCGGGCAAGACCAAGTGACAAATGAGGGCCATCAGAACTGTGAACTCAGCCAACCTCCTGAACCCAGCCAGCAGGGCTCTGAGCATCTACTGATGGAGGCCTCAGCCAAAGCTGTTGGATTCCCAAAAGCATGTGACAAAGCTTCCAGCATGGATTCCAGCCCACTCAACAAGGCTTCAGCAGAGCTAGCTAAGGCTTCTTCTTTTGGCAGCCCTCCATACCTCACAGGACCCACAGGGCATCGCCATAGTGCCCCCGAACAGCTGCTGGCATCCCACTTACAGCGTGTGCACCTTGATACCAGGGGCAGCAAGGTTATGGAGCTCCCAACTGGGCGAGATGGGCACGAGTGGACTCTGTCTCCTTTGCATGGCAGCCACACAGGGAAGAAAAGTCCATGTCCCTCTGCAGGAGGAACCCAGGACCATCCCAGCAAAGAGAAAAAGACCAGGCCAGTGGATGATAGGCCTTTAGGTTCGGGGCACCAAAGCCCAAGCAGTTCCCCACATGGAGAGGCTGATGGACACCCTCCAGAAAGAGGTTTCCAGGACCCAAACAGAGCAAACAGAACAGGCAGTGAATTGGCTAGCCAGCCGCCCTCTGCCTCTGACTCCCTTGTTCAACAAACCAGGGACTGTTGTTCAACCACTAAAGTACCTGGAAACACAGAGGCAACTAAAGAAGGGGACAATGAGCCCAAGGAGTGTGGCCGGGTGGGTGGTAGGCGAAATGGAGGGACCCGGGGCCGCTCAATCCAAAACCGGCGGAAGAGTGAGCGTTTTGCTACCAATCTGCGTAATGAAATTCAGAGGAGGAAGGCTCAGCTCCAGAAAAGTAAGAGTCCCTTGTCACAGCTGTGTGACACTAAGCAGCCAGTGGAAGAAACCGAGGAGTCCCTAGAAAATCCTTCACTTCCTGCGTCTAACTCGTCTCTTCTGTCTTCATATAAAAAACCACCTAGCCCCAGAGACAAGCTCTTCAACAAGAACATAATACTCAGGGCTAGGTCTTCAGAGTGCCTCAGCCAAGCCCCTGAGAGCCATGAACCTAGGACAGGCTTGGAGGGACGAATAAGCCCTAGCCAGAGGCCTGGCCAGTCCTCTTTGGGCCTGAACACCTGGTGGAAAGCATCTGACCCATCCTCCTCAGACTCTGAGAAAACAAATGTTCACTGTGGAGTCCATGGAGGTCATTGGAGATGGTCTCCAGAGCACAACCTGCAGCCACATGTGGCACTAGCCATGGAAGCCCCTTCCAACCCAGGCGACAACAAAGAATTGAAGACTTCTACTGCCCAAGCTGGGGAGGAAGCCATCCTCTTGCCCTTTGCAGACAGAAGAAGGTTCTTTGAAGAGAGTAGCAAATCCTTATCTACATCTCATTTGCCAGGTTTAACCACTCATAGCAACAAGACTTTTACCCAGAGATCAAAACCTATAGATCAAAACTTCCAGCCAATGAGCTCCACCTATAGAGAATTGAGGCACCATCCCATGGACCAATCATATCATTCTTCAGACCAACCATATCATGCCACAGACCAATCATATCATTCCATGTCACCCCTTCAGTCAGAAACTCCCACTTACTCAGAATGTTTTGCGAGCAAAGGTCTAGAACAATCCATGTGTTGTAAGCCACTGCACTGCGGTGATTTCGATTACCACAGGACCTGCTCTTATTCCTGCAACGTCCAGGGAGCTGTAGTCCATGACCCTTGCATTTATTGTTCTGGGGAAATCTGCCCTGCTCTGCGAAAGAGAAATATGATGCCAAACTGCTACAACTGCCGGTGCCACCACCACCAATGCATCCGGCGTTCAGCTTGCCATCATAATCCCCAGCACAGTACCCTCGAGGACAGCAGCTTGGCACCTGACAACACTTGGAAACCCAGGAAGCTGACAGTGCAGGTGAGGACTTGGTTCTTGGATGGGTGAGCTTCATTATTCTCTTCGTGAGGAAAAAGCAAGGTAAACATTTGAAAATATAATGATTTTCATTCCTTACAACTGTATAGTGCTGGTTTCACCAGATTGTAGCTTATTAACCTTGAGCAAGACACTCAACCACCAAAATTGCAATTACCTCATCTTTAGAGTTAGAGCAAAATAACTTTTGCTTCACAAAATGGACAGAACTGGGATTTATATCCTGACCGTATAATTGGTATCTGAGTGACCGTAAGCAAGTCATTCAACCACCAAAATTTGCAGTTGTGTGATTTTTAAAGGGAAAAAAAGAATTTTACCTCATAAAATGGCCAGTACTAAATAAAGTCTTATTACCTCATCTCTCAAGTGGAGGAAAATAATGGCCGCCTCATGGATTAGTCATGAGGATCAAATGAGATTGTGTATATAGAGTGCCAGGCCCAGTGCCTGATACAAAACAGCATGTATTCCCTTCCATTTCCTGCTTTAAAACTATTTGGAGCTGCCATATTTGCAAATGTCACCCCAGGCTTTGCCATCGGGGATCTGACTTATCTGGTTTTCTGAAGAATAAATCCTTCCCCCCTTCTCCAGTCTCTCTCTGTCAGAGACCCAGGTCTAGACTTGGCTGTTGCTGCACCCTGGTTATGACCTACAGCCCTAACACAAGCCACTGCCATCCCCCCAGGTACTTTTGGGAGGACCCCCTATGTCCTTGCCAACTCACTGCCAGATTCCTCTCCTTGGCTTCCTTAGTGCCACCTTTTGGCTGGTGCACTCAAACCAGAAGTTAGTTCCTGAGTTGAACTGTTGTTGCATAGGCAGACACTTCTGAATGACTTAGGCTATGAAATTGCTCAATACACATTCTTTGAAAAAGGGAACCTTAGAGGTGAAAGAAGCCTTACACAAAAGAGTACATACTTTACTATTCCTTTTATATAAAGTTCTAAAACAGCTATTCTATGGAAAAGAAATTCAAAACAGTGGTGGTCTATGGGAGGTGGCATGGAGATTGACTGGAAAAGGGCATAAGGGAACTTTGTCCCATGACAATAGTGTTCTATATCTGGATAACAGTTTGAGTTACACAGGTGTATACATTCGTCAAAGCTCAACAAATCTACATCTAAAATTGTGCATTTCATTGGAAGTAAATTTTGCCTAAAAATTATGGTAAACAAATATCAAACTTTAATATATATGCTGAAGTTCTTTTTCTTTTTTTTTTTTTAGTGAGGAAGATTAGCCCTGAGCTAACATCCGTTGCCAATCCTCCTCTTTTTGCTGAGGAAGAGTGGCCCTGGGCTAAGATCCATGCCCATCTTCCTCTATGTTTTTATATGTAGGATGCCTGCCACAGCATGGCTTGATAAGCAGTGCATAGCTCTGCACCTGGGATCCAAACCTGTGAACCCTGGGCTGAAGCGGAGTGCACAAACCCCACTATGCCACTGGGCCAGCCCCTGAAGTTCTTGAAATATATTGATGTGTGCAACTTATTTTATAGTTTTCAGCATACTAGTGTTGCCCATATTTTGTTATAATTTATCCCTAAGATTTCATGTTTTTGATGCTATTATAAATAGTATCATTTTCTTAATGTCAAGTTAAAATTCTTTGTTACTACTATATAGAAATAGAATTTAATTTTGTCTGTTGGCACAGACTCCCTTGCCAAACTCACTTATTAGTTCTGGTAGCTTTTTGGTAGATTTTAAAAGATTTTCTACATAAACAATCATGTCCTCTGCAAATGGAAATAATTTTGTATCTTAATTTCTACTGTGTATGGCTTTTCTAGGGGAGAGAGAGGTCTTATTGCTCTGTCTAGGACCTCCAACACAACGTTTAGTAGACATAGTGAGGGTGGATAGTGTTGCTTTGTTTCCAATCTTTCTCTACTAAATTTGATGTTAGCTATAGGTTTTTTTGTAGATTCCCTTTATTAGGTTGAGGAAGTTCCCTTTTATTCTTAGTTTTCTGAGAGCTTTTATCAGGAGTGGATGTTGGACTTTTTTCAAATGCTTTTTCTGTATCTATTGAGATGGTCATGTAGTTTCTCTCTTTTAGTTTATTGATAGGGTGAATTACATTGATTGATTTTTGAAATAAGAACCAGCCTAGCATTGCCAGGATAAATACCACTTGGTCATGATTTATAATCCTTTTTATATATTACTAGATTTGATTTGCTAATATTTTATTAAGGATTTTTGTGTCTATGATTATCAGGGATTTTAGTCTATAGTTTTCTTGTAATGTCCTTGTTTGGTTTTCATATCAAAGTGGTGGCCTTACCAAATGAGTTGGGAGGTATGCCCTCCTCTTCTATTTTCAGGAAAAGTTTATATAGAATTGCTATTATTTCTTCCTTAAACGTTTGGTAGAATTCATCACTGAAGCTGTCTGGGCCTGGAGTTTTCTTTGTGGAAAGATTTTTAACTACAAATTAAATTTCTTTAATAGATATAGGGTCATTTAGGTTATCTGTTTCTTCTTGAGTGAGCTTTGATAGTTTGTCCTTCAAGGAATTTGTCCATTTCATTTAAGTTTCTGAATTTATGGAGATAAAGTTCATTGTAACTTACTTTGAAATGCATCAAGAATTTAAGATGGATTGGTGGATGGATAGAGGAGTGAATAGATAGATATGTGATAAGGCAAATATAGTAAAATATTAATTGTAGAATCTAGGTGGTGGATACATGGGTGTTAATCATAAACTTGTTTGACTCTTCTGTATGCTTGAAAATATTCATAATAAATGTTGAAAAAAAGAGGAGAGTATATATAAAATAATGGTTTAGTGGCACTGATGCTGGAACCAGACTGCCTTGGTTCAAATTCCTAAGCTTTCCCAACTTAAAAAAAAAAGGAGGTAGTAACAGTACCTACTTCATAAGTTGATTGTGTGGATTAAATGATGTAACGTGTGTAAGGCACTTAGAACAGTGACTGTCATCTTTTAAGTGTGAGTTATTCTCTCTGAAAATAAAAGGCGACTTTGGCTTGGCTTGAGAAACTTTTGCCCAAAGAAGAACCTGCAAGTAGACAATAGAAGAAAGGGGCTGAAGCTGGGGAGGAAAAGGGGGAAAGAGATGGCCGCGGAAGTGTCAGCCCAGGGCGAGTAGCTCTGTAAGGGAAGGAGGTGAAATTTGCAGGTTGCAGCAGTTGGCAACAATGCAGGCGTGCCTGTGCCCATACCATACCTCTCCTTTTGTACTCTGAGGGAAGGACACATGGAGTTCCTAATGCCTGTTAGACTAGCTGAGCAGGTCTGCTTAGACACTAGGCTTTCAGACATGTGGATGGCCGTCTAGGAGCCACTTTATGTCATTTCTACCCCTGCCACCTGAATATACCCGCCCAGACATGGGGAAAACTTTCAGCATGGGTTAGCATACCCCAGCTCAGATGACAAAGGTAGTTGTGATGGTGGCTATCTAGAGTAGGGCTGAGAGCCTGTTCCTTATGGCACCTGGAAGAGGTTGGGGAGATAATTGGCTCCTGTTTAGTGCTGTTAAGAGAAGTAAAATCAGCAGGCACTTACATCCCTCATACTTCATGCCAGTTAGTTTTGCGTATATTATCAGACTATTTCATGTAACAATTGTATGAGATAAGTTATAATAGGATCCCCATTTTACAGCTGAGGAAGTTGAGGCTCAGAGAGGTCACACATCTAGCAAATGGCAAAGCTAGGATTTGAACAACATAACAGTAACTAACATTTGAGTGTCTACTGTGCACCAGGTACTGTTCTAGGTGCTTTACATGTATCAACTCATTTAGTCCTCAAAGCAATCAAGAAATAGGTACTGTTATTATTATGATCTCATTATTAAATAGCTGGGGGAAATGAGATAGAGAGAAGTTGGGTAGTTTGCCTGAGGTGACAGAGCTAGTGAAGGCAGATGTGGGATTTGAATCTATGTAGTCTAGCTTCAGAGGCCAAGCTCCTAATTGTGCTACACTGCTTCTTCATAAGCTGATTGCCAAGCCCAGGCCTTCTCCAGTATAGCAGGATGCCTTTTAGGAGTATAACTTCCATCGGGGCAACAAGTTCCCACCACAATCACCATGTGCAACAAGCTGTGGAGATAACTGCCTCTGGTTCAAGGTGCTCAGGCAATTTATAGCAAATTAAGTGGCTCAGGAAAAAAAATAAGGTGATACTAGGGAGCTGAGATGGAGTTTGGGAGTTGGAACAGGACTTTATTTGCTTTGGCCACTGCTATTTACTGAGCACTTCCACAGGGCTAGACAGGGCATGGCAGGAAATCCTGGCTCCCACTGTGGCTGAACGAGTAACAGTGTCTTGGAGGGCAGAGACATCTCACAAGGGCGTTGAGGTCGAGTCTGAAGCACAGGTGGTTAGAGTTGCTCTGATATGACAGGTACAGGCAGGGAATGCTGAAGCCTGGAAACAAACCACATTTTTTCCTTGGCTACTAACATCCAGAGCCTCCTATGTGCTGAGCACTGTGCTAGGCATTCTCTATGCACATCCCATTTTATCCCCACTACTGGGAACCCAGCAAGGCTAGATAGCATAATCCTTATTTGCCAGATAAGAAGCTGAGGTTCAGGGAGGTGGCATAACTTCCCTCAAATAACACAGCTAATAAGTGTCTTAGCCAGTATGATGGACATCAGGTGTCTTACCGCCAAAAGGGAGGCCTACTGGGGCAAAGGTAATAACACTTTGAATGAGACCAATAATAGCATTGGAGAAAGAGGGAATTTGGAATATCAGTGAGGTTTAGGAAAAACTTTGCATTCCCGTTGGGCTAAGCTCTGAGTCACTAGGTAGAGGATACTGGATGCGAAATCAGGAAGAATGTAAAAATCAAATTTGCATTAGGTTTGGAGCTAGAATAGGAAGGTAGGGACATTTTTACAAATGGCACACATGGCTTGGGCTAGAGGAAAAAGAGTTGCTTGGGCAAAGCCCTTAAGGAAAAGATGCCCAGGGTGAAGAGTCTATTCCTGTAATGTGGGGAATGTGGCACCCGGCACTCATGCTCCCCAGAGATGAGCCCACCTCAGCCCCTGGCAGTGGATCGGGGAGGAGGAGGAAGGGCCCCTGCAGTACAGGGTGTGCTGGCATGCACGCTCTCCGTCTGCCTCACCCTGGAAGAGGGTTGCAGTAACAGGAGCTTTAGGCCTCAAAGCCCCCTCAAGGGCCAGGGCTTCCAAGAAGATGCTTTCTATGTTGGAAGAGGCCAGAGGAATGAGCAGGTTCACCCAGCAGAACAAACAAAAAGACCTCCTTTGCAAGAGCCAGAGCAAACAGCAAACGTGCTAAACTGGTTTTTAACGTGGTTTGGGAGGGAGTAGAGAAAGAAAGGGAAACGCAGGGTTTTCTAGACCACACCGTCCAGGTCCTGAGTGCTCTCCTAGTCTCTGCATGCCCCCAGCAGCTCAGCAGGCCACTTGACAGAAAGGCAGCCCTCCAGGTACGTATTTCTCTAGCCTGCGTGGGAGAGTAGAAGGAACCAGCTGGGGGGGGGGGGGCTGGCCGGGGACAGGCTTCTGACCTCTTCACATTTTTGAGGCCATCTAGATACCTGGCTGCTCAGAGCTCCCTAACTTATCAGAATTTTGCTTTGCAGGAATTTCCTGGGGACAAATGGAAACCAATAACAGGAAACAGGAAGACCAGCCAGTCAGGGAGGTAAGTGACCACTCAGGGAGTTGGGGTGAGTTGGTGCCTCTGAGGCTTCTATAGAAATTGGTAAGGTCTTCTGTTTGCTCAGTTTCCTTTGAAGAACCTGGTCTGGTGTCCATACCAAGGGTTAATGCCATAGATGTAATCCAGCCTGCCCCCAGACAGCTGGGCTACAGACCAAACTGATTGCTGGGACATTTTGGAATATGTTGTAGTCAGGCAGTATTGTGGGACATTGTGCTCATCAGCTCAGAGGCCTGAGGCAGGCCTGCCCAGGCACAATGACATGTGGGATCAAATCATGCTGAAACAGATGAGAAGGCATAAACTATGCCTGCCTTCCCAGCAGCCATTGAGCAGTTGGAGGGGGCAGAGAAGGGGTAAGACTGTCCAGCTACTGCTGTGCCTTTGCCTCAGAGTTGTTAGAGGTACTTGTTTCTTGGGTTCTGCTACCTTTCTTTTTATAGGGCTTGTTGAGAACTTAATGTCTGCTCATTAAAAGTCCAGGGGCAGATCATGCTAACAATAGGTTAAAATTCCTGAAAGAAAGCAGGAACCTTTTTACAAATGGCATATATGGCTTGGGCTAGAGGGAAAAGAGTTGCTTGGGCAAAGCCCTTAAGGAAAAAAATGCCCAGAGTGGAGAGTGCACCTGTAATGTGGGAAACATGGCACCTGGCACTCATGCTCCCCAGAGATGAGCCTATCTGCCATAGGTGACCATAAGGAGTAGACACTTACCTTTCTGGGTTGCTCTCCATCAGCCCGGCTGGACCCTCTCGTTTGTGAAATTCCTTGATAGACTATTTCGGTCAGTTCTTCTCCAGGCCAAATTGTACAAGAGGCCCCTAAATTATACTGATTTTTTAACTCAAATTCCAGGAATGAAGGAGGGACAGGGAAGAAGGCTCTTAGCTGTGCCTTTGTGGGGACACCTAGGGAGGGGGCACAAAAGGAGAGGACTAGAATCTGGGTCTCTTGAGTCCAGAGGAGTCCAGAGTTCTTTCTGGGGGTGTACATTATCCCCTGTGATTTGGTTGTGTAGTCGGGAATATTTTGGCTTTCTTTTGACTCCAAAGTCTGGGAAAACTATCAGTTTTCTGGTTGGCAATGGAGAAAGGGAGGAACTCAACATTTATTGATCATCTACTAAGTGTCAGTCACTGGGCTGGATCTTTTTACACCCATAATCCCATTTATTCTCCACAATCATTCATTTCGCTACTTATTTTATAGATGAGGTCCAGAGAGGTTATATAACTTAGCTGAGGTCACATAGCTAGTAAGTGATGGAGCCAGGATTCCGACCTAGGTTTGTCTGGCCCCAAAGTTCATGTTTTTCCATTATAACTGCTTCAATTAGGATCCCTAAGGAGACCTTTCAAATGGATCCCTTAGCATCATGTCTCAGGAGTCTAAGGCCTGGGTGGGGATACTATGGCTGGTCTTGATTCCCTGATGTGGGCTGACTTGTACCATGTCCTTGGAGAAATCATTTCAGTCTAGTGGGTCTGCTGAGTTTCCCATATTAGACTGAGATCTTTGAGAGAGGCAACCATGCCTTGGTCATAGACTTATTCTCTGTGCCTAGCACGGTGCCTGACACTGAGAAGTTGCTCAAGAGGTATTTGCCATTTGCTTTCCGAGTGAAGAAACAGAGCCTTCTCCACCACTGAATGGGTGAAATGACACAAAAGTAATAATGCTAACTAACATTTCTTGAGCACAGTGCTCTATTATAGGCACCATTCAAAGCACTTTACAAATATTTATTTATCACAATAACCTTACGGGGTAGGTACCCTTAGTCTCTCCATTTGACTGAGAGAAGAAACTGAAGCAAACACAGGTAAATTCATTTGCCTAAAGTCCCACAGCTAGTAAGTTGACTAGACCCAGGCAGTCTAACTTCAGAGACACTATACTACGCTATGGTGCTTCTCCAAAATGGTTCTCTTACCAATCAGCCAGTGAAGTAAGAGGACTTTATTCAAAACCTGGTGTATGTACTGCCTTTTTCTAGGCAAGCAGGGAAATATTAGAGAAAGAGCATCATAAAGCATAATGCCTGCCCACCCGTAGCTTGAGCAAAGAAGACTAACCCACACAAAGTTAAGTAGCAGTAATAATAAGTTACCATTTGCATAACAACCTATGTGCCACAAGCTAAGTTACACATATTATGTTGTGTTTTATCTTCCCCAAAACTCTAAGTAGGTATTATTATAACTAGGTCAGTGGTTCTCAAACTTGAGTGTGCATTAGAGACACCTGGAGAGCTTGTTAAACCACAGATAGATAGGCAGATCCCACTTCCCAGAGAGTGTGATTCAGTAGATGTAGAGTGGGACTCAAAATTTGCATTTCCAACAAGCTCCCCAGGTGATGCTGATGTAGGGTGATGAGGCAGCTGGTCCTAGGATCACACTTTGAGAACTACTGACTCAGAAAAAGAATCTGAGGTTCAGAGAAGCTAAGTAATTTACTCAAGGTCTCACAGCTACTAAAGGGACAAGCCAGGATTTAAACTGAGCTTTTGCTTACTCAGACAAGTTGCTATCAGATGAAAAGTGTCAAATACATGGTTTAAACAAAAAGCACGTGGTAAAGGGCCGGTACATGATAACTATTATTATGCCCTATTTAAGTTCACTGGAGGGTACGAAAACTGAAGGTTGGGACCCATGGGAAGAAAGGCCCAGAGGGGACACTAAGCAGGGTCTGTTGGAGGAATGAACCCCTTTGGTTAAGAATTCTGGCCTCAGATTCAGTCTGCCTGGGTTCAAATTCAGATTCTTCTATTCTCTAGCTGTGTGAGCTTGGCGAGTGGCTTGCTCGCTCGCTCTCACCTCACCCCATCAGTTTTCTCATTGCCAAATGGGGTAGGAGTACCTACCTCATGTGATTGTTGTGAGTATTAAATGAGTTAATATATGTAAAGCATTTAGAACAAAACCTGGTACCATAAACCCTCAGTAAATATTAGTTGTGATAATGAGGAGAAGGAGGAGGAAGCAGAAGCGGTAAAGGAGGAAGAGGACCAGCAGCAGTGACAGTAACAGTAGAGAAAAAGGGTGAAGTACTGGGTCAGGATAGATAGGCCTTGAAAACTAGATAGGATCGTAAACATGGAAGCAATTGAAGGTTATCGATCAGGTACGTGACATGGTAAATGTGGCATTTTAGGCAACTTGGCATCCTTTGCAGCCTAGATGGGTTTGAAGGGAGACCAATTAGGGGCAGAGATCCAGGCATTAAAGAGTGTGGCCCTGGATTGGGAAGGTGGGGGTGCAATAGGAATGGAGCAGAAGGGATATATAAATATGTGTGATATTTTGGGGAAAAAATGTTTATTGTGAAAATAATATTACAGGAAACTAAAAACAAAAGAAAAAGTAGCCTTATTCCTACCACCCTAACACCCTGATTGTTTTCATTTCCCTGCCAGCTTTTATGTATAGGTATAGAGATTTTTTTTGGCATGATTATAATAGCTATGTAGATGTGATTTTGTGTGTCCTGTCTCTTTTTTCCCCACTAAGCATTACTTGGTAAAGAATTTTTCATGTTGCTATATAGGCTTCCTCAATAATTGTGAATTTTAATGGCTGCATAATATTTCACTGGCTTAATGTGCTCTAGTTTGCTTGATCATTCCAAAATTGTTGGATAATTAGATTGTTTCCAATTTCTTGCTATTACAAAGTAATGCTGCAGAAAAATTTTGTGTAGCTATAACCTATGTCTCGTTTTGAATTATCTCATTAAAAATAATTATCCAGGGTTGGGATTATTAGTTGAAAGAATATGAACATTCTTATTCTTCTTGATAGATTTCACCAAATCCTGCTTTCCCAGGAGGCATTTTACACTGCCGTTATCAATATATGAGGATACCAATTTCCCCCAAATCTTCCCCTCATGGAAAATTGTCTTTTTCTAATGCACTAGGTGTGAATGGTACCTATTATAATTTTAACTTGCTTACTTTGGGTATTCTAGTTTGAAAATTTTTCATGTGTTTATTTAATATTTGCATTGTTTCTCGTGTGAATGGTCTGTTCAGATTATTTGCTCGCAAGTACATGACACCTTTTGAGAGAAAAGTAAAGAGAACTTGGTGATTGGAATTTGAGAAAGAAAGAATAAGTCGATAATAACTCTGAGTCCCAGTGACTTGGAGAAAGTTATCGACATAGCCGGGGCAGTTTAGAAGGGGAGTGATTTGGTGGAGATGGTAAGTTTGAGTTGGGATATGTTGAATTTGAAGTTAGTGAGAGAGACAAGTGGATTCTTTGGAGGAGGCTTGTCGATCACCCAACCAGGGGATAGGATGAGGAAGAAGAACCAGCAAAGGAAATTGAAGGGGCAAGCAGCTGGAGTGGTGGAAGTATGCCAGCACACCATGATAGAAGATAAGGAGAGGACTGTTACTGACTTTGACAGTTTGGAATCACAAGTGACCTTCAAGAAAGCAAACTTAGTAAAGTGGTAGGCAAAGGAAGTAGATGGCATGATGGTCTGTAAGGGGGATGGGTAGAGAAAAAAATGCACACAGCTTTATACATCATAAATTGACCTATTTTAAGTGTACAATTCAATGAGTTTTGGTAAATTTACAATGCTGCGCAATCATCACCAATCCAATTTTAAGACATGTCCATCTCCCTAAAAGGATCCCTTGTGCCCATTTGCATTCGCTTCCCATTCCCACCCTCAACCTCAAGCAACCACTAATCTACTTTCTGTCTCTATGGATTTGCCTATTCTGTACATTCCATGTAAATAGAATCATACAATATGTAGGCTTTTGTGCCTGGCTTTTTTCACTTAACATGCATTAACAGTTCATCATGTTGTAACATGTATCAGTATGTCATTCATCTTTTTTGCCAAATAATGTTCCACTGTATGGATATACCATATTTTATTTATCCATTCATGCATTAGTGGATATTTGGATTATTTCCACTTTTTAGCTATTGTGAATAATGCTGCTATGACCA